CATTTTTGCACTCAGGTCAAAGTCTCGCGGCCCTCTATCATAATCCAGAGTTTTGAGAAGATTGGAGAAACTTGATTTTTCGCCCAAAAACGGAAAACGAAAGGGGTACACTGTCGTTTTTTTTTCGGGTCGAAATTTTGAGTTTCGATATCTCAGCTCTGGAAGGGTCTAGAGCCTCCATTTTTGCACTCAGGTCAAAGTCTCGTGGCCCTCTATCAGAATCCAGAGTTTTGAGAAGATTGGAGAAACTTAATTTTACGCCGAAAAAAAAAAAACGAAAGGGGTAACACTGTCGGTTTTTTTTTCGGGTCGAAATTTTGAGTTTCGATATCTCAGCTCTGGAAGGGTCTAGAGCCTCCATTTTTGCACTCAGGTCAAAGTCTCGCGGCCCTCTATCATAATCCAGAGTTTTGAGAAGATTGGAGAAACTTGATTTTTCGCCCGAAAACGGAAAAAAACGAAAGGGGTAACACTGTCGTTTTTTTCGGGTCGAAATTTTGAGTTTCGATATCTCAGCTCTGGAAGGGTCTAGAGCCTCCATTTTTGCACTCAGGTCTAAGTCTCGTGGCCCTCTATCATAATCCAGAGTTTCAAGAGGATCAGAGAAACTCAAAATTTTGACCCGGAAAAAAAAATGACAGTGGTACCCCTTGCGGTTTTTTTTTCGGGTCGAAATTTTGAGTTTCGATATCTCAGCTCTGGAAGGGTCTAGAGCCTCCATTTTTGCACTCAGGTCTAAGTCGCATGGCCCTCTATCAGAATGCAGAGTTTCAAGAGGATCAGAGAAACTCAAAATTTTTACCCGAAAAAAAAACGACAGTGGTACCCCTTTCGTTTTTTTTTCGGGTCGAAATTTTGAGTTTCGATATCTCAGCTCTGGAAGGGTCTAGAGCCTCCATTTTTGCACTCAGGTCTAAGTCTCATGGCCCTCTATCAGAATCCAGAGTTTTAAGAGGATCAGAGAAACTCAAAATTTTGACCCGAAAAAAAAATTGACAGTGGTACCCCTTTCGGTTTTTTTTCGGGTCGAAATTTTGAGTTTCGATATCTCAGCTCTGGAAGGGTCTAGAGCCTCCATTTTTGCACTCAGATCTAAGTCGCATGGCCCTCTATCAGAATGCAGAGTTTCAAGAAGATCAGAGAAACTCAAAATTTTGACCCGAAAAAAAAAACGACAGTGGGTACCCTTTTCGTTTTTTTTTTGGGGTCGAAATTTTGAGTTTTGATATCTCAGCTCTGGAAGGGTCTAGAGCCTCCATTTTTGAACTCAGGTCTAAGTCTCGTGGTCCTGTATCAGAATCCAGAGTTTCAAGAGGATCAGAGAAACTAAAAATTTTGACCCGAAAAAAAACGACATTGGTACCCCTTACGTTTTTTTTCGGGTCGAAATTTTGAGTTTCGATATCTCAGCTTTGGAAGGGTCTAGAGCCTCCATTTTTGCACCCAGGTCTAAGTCTCGTGGCCCTCTATCATAATCCAGAGTTTCAAGAGAATCAGAGAAACTCAAAATTTTGACCCGAAAAAAAACGACAGTGGTACCCCTTACGTTTTTTTTTCGGGTCGAAATTTTGAGTTTCGATATCTCAGGTCTGGAAGGGTCTAGAGCCTCCATTTTTGAACTCAGGTCTAAGTCTCGTGGCCCTCTATCATAATCCAGAGTTTCAAGAGGATCAGAGAAACTCAAAATTTTGACCCGAAAAAAAACGACAGTGGTACTCCTTACGTTTTTTTTTTCGGGTCGAAATTTTGAGTTTCGATTTCTCAGGTCTGGAAGGGTATAGAGCCTCCATTTTTGCACTCAGGTCTAAGTCTCATGGCCCTCTATCAGAATCCAGAGTTTTAAGAGGATCAGAGAAACTCAAAATTTTGACCCGAAAAAAAAATTGACAGTGGTACCCCTTTCGGTTTTTTTTCGGGTCGAAATTTTGAGTTTCGATATCTCAGCTCTGGAAGGGTCTAGAGCCTCCATTTTTGCACTCAGGTCTAAGTCTCGTGGCCCTCTATCAGAATCCAGAGTTTCAAGAGGATCAGAGATACTCAAAATTTTGACCCGAAAAAAAAAAAAAAAACGACAGTGGTACCCCTTTCGTTTTTTTTTTCGGGTCGAAATTTTGAGTTTCGATATCTCAGCTCTGGAAGGGTCTAGAGCCTCCATTTTTGCACTCAGGTCTAAGTCTCATGGCCCTCTATCAGAATCCAGAGTTTCAAGAGGATCAGAGAAACTCAAAATTTTGACCCGAAAAAAAAAAACGACAGTGGTACCCCTTTCGTTTTTTTTTCGGGTCGAAATTTTGAGTTTCGATATCTCAGCTCTGGAAGGGTCTAGAGCCTCCATTTTTGCACTCAGGTCTAAGTCGCATGGCCCTCTATCAGAATGCAGAGTTTCAAGAGGATCAGAGAAACTCAAAATTTTGACCCGAAAAAAAAGAAACGACAGTGGTACCCCTTTCGTTTTTTTTTCGGGTCGAAATTTTTAGTTTCGATATCTCAGCTCTGGAAGGGTCTAGAGCCTCCATTTTTGCACTCAGGTCTAAGTCTCATCGGCCTCTATCAGAATCCAGAGTTTCAAGAGGATCAGAGAAACTCAAAATTTTGACCCCCTCAAAAAAACGACATAGGTACCCCTTTTGTTTTTTTCGGGGCGAGAAATAATTAAGTTTCTCCAATCTTCTCAAAACTCTGGATTCTGATAGAGGGCCATGAGACTTAGACCTGAGTGCAAAAATGGAGGCTTTAGACCCTTCAAGAGCTGAGATATTGAGATCCCACGTAGCATTTATGCCATTATAAATATTTCAAAATCTCAGCTCTGGAAGGGTCTAGAGCCTCCATTTTTGCACTCAGGTCTAAGTCGCATGGCCCTCTATCAGAATCCAGAGTTCCAAGAAGATCAGAGAAACTCAAAATTTTGACCCCCCTCTGATAGAGGGCCGCGAGACTTAGACCTGAGTGCCAAAATGGAGGCTCTAGACCCTTCCAGAGCTGAGATATTGAGATATTTATAATGGCATAAATGCTACGTGGGATCTCAATATCTCAGCTCTGGAAGGGTCAAGAGCCTCCATTTTTGCACTCAGGTCTAAGTCTCATGACTACACGTGTCTCGCATTTTTAGACGCAAATACACGTCCCGTGTGAACGGTCCGATCTATGTTTCCTGAGGGAATTAAGTCCTGAAATGATTCTTTACCATGTATCTATGAAATATTAATGATATGTTTGTTCCTCGACGCAGTTCGACATGGTTCCAGAAACGGTTGGCTCTCCGAACAGCGTCACACTGAAGGCCTTCACGATGCACATGGAGGTCAGAGCACCATTTCATGAATTTTGTGTTACTAAAAGAGCCATATTTTGCAGATTCAACTTCTCAATTTCGAATTTTTATTTTTATTCTTTTTGAAATAGTAGCGATTCTTATTTAAAAAAGTAGCAATTCTTTTTTTTAAAAAGTAGCAATTCTTTTTGAAAATGTAGCGATTCTTTTTAAAGTAGCAATTCTTTTTTGAAAAAGTAGCGATTCTTTTTGAAAAAGTTGATACTTTTTAAAAAAGTAGCGATTCATTTTTGAAAAATGTAATTCTTTTCAAAAAGAATTGCTACTTTTTCAATAAGAATAATGTAAAAAAAAAATAATAATGTAACAAATGTATAATAATAATATGAAGGTGATGAAGCCTCTTCTCACATGTTCCTCTGATGTTCAGGAGGTGATTGAGGGTAAAATGGTCGATGAAGACGGTTCTGCGGAGGGTGTGGTGACCGTCTCAGGTGTGTACGCACAGAACGCTCTACAGCGCAGTGTCAGTCAGCTGATGGACAAGAAAGACGAGGAAGCGTGGGAGCCGCACTTCAGACGCCTCGACAGCGGCCTGGTGAGAACATCAGGATTTATGTTGCACTTGCTGCTGCTGCTGGAAATGCTTTATTTTTGGCTGATATATGATTTTGATTGTCAGTTTGAAGGTGAGGAGTTTGTGGACAGCATCAAAGGCTTCAGCACAGTCAGGAAAGAACACACCATGTTCACGGACACTAACCTTTGACCTTCCTCATGACGTCTGACCCTCATCTCATATGAGAGCGGGATCGGCACTTTCTCCAAACATCACCTCCTATCAGCGGAAAATGAACTAAACTAAGTTGGACATCTCTATGGACCTATGACACCAATGGTGTCTCCAACTCTAACACAGACAAGAGGAAATGAAATTATACAGCAGGCCAAAACAACAACAACAACAGGTTCACAGATACAACAGGTAAAGTTGGCTTGGACGGCGTATTTGAACAATTTCAAACTCATTTTCTGATTTTTTTTTTTTTAAAGAAAACCATGTTGTGGCATATGTAATATTTAAGAGGTTACTTGATAATAAATATATTAAAGACAACTTTTAATTAAAACTTTGTATGAAGGCGTCATCACGTCACTATCCCTGACATTTAAACTGAAGTTAGTATTTGCTTTCTGCAGAGAGATGTTCAATAGAGACTCAAGCAGACAATTCTATAAGAATATATATAATTTAACTTATCTTTTCTTTTTTTGTGTTTTCTAAGGCTTGATTCATGATCGAGTGCATTTTTATGCAAATTTTAACAACATTTCAGAAGCTTCTAATATAAAATAATTGTCTTAATGCACTGATTAATCAAATGAGGAAGTATGGGGATTTCTTGAATATGGTGGGTCATTTCAAATATTAACCAGAACACAAGATAACATACATTTTACTACTCCATGATCTCACTTTTTATAACTAAGCAATTCTGTGACAATGTTGTTTGACAATCTTGACATTCAAATATTGGGGTTCACGCTCCCTAAAAAAGGGTTAATTGACAAATAAATAGGTTAATTACGTAAATATATTTTTTTTGTATTAGACAAGCAACCCCATGATAAGTAAAGTATACAACTGGACATATAATATTTTCAAGAATTACATTTTACAGTTATAATCTGGCCTGTTGAAAGGACACAAACGCACAGCGGGTTTGATGAACAGAACATATGCTTTTATTTGAAAACTGCCCTGCTACATACAATGCATTATAAAATACTAATTCAAAAGGACCATTAATGTTGCATTAAAAATAAGGTACAAAATTTGATGAATTCAAAAAGGCAGCGTTTCATTATTGCTTGTATAAATATATAATCTCTAGTTATTATGGTACGTGTACCCTGATTTACTGTGCTAATGTTCCTCAGAATCAGGCCACGACAACCTGACGACACAAACGAGCTGTAGTTCAATATTTTATGCAAAACCGTTCCCTTTTAGATCAATTGAAAGTGCGTGAAACGACTTTTTCGTTCTGAATGCTTTACGAGCATAAAAACAACATGGACCCTTTTAATGCGAGGATGCATGTTCATCTGGGACACGAGACAGTCAAGTGCTTTACTTGCATTAACATAAAACGGCACGCAACTGACTGATGGAACAAATGAACACATCCTGTAAGTGTTGAAAGTTCCCCCTCAGAACACACTGATTTAGACCGAGACGCGAGATGTGCTCGTCCTCACGTGCAGAAACTGCTACCTGAGTTTAAAGGACTAGTTCACTCAAAAAATGTCGTTCCAAACCTGTATCCCTTTCTTTCGTGAACAGCTATCAAATGACTTCAGAAGATTTGGAATATGGCACATGATTCTTCTATGATGCTGGGATATTCTTGACCTTTCCACAGAAGAAATAAAGGTTTGGAACGACATGACAGATTTTTAACTTGGTGTGAAACAATCCTTTAAGGTTGTGCATCTGTGGGAACACACATATAAACTCAATCTCTCCATCAAAAAACAACATTCAGCTTTTAGTCACACATTCAAAAATATCACCTAATAAACCAGAGACAATCATTCAATCTTGTTGCACGACCTCGGTGAAGACAAACAGACGTGTTTATCTCTTTATGAGTGTTTTAGCTCTTCGTACCTTGTCCTTCCTCCACTGTTGATATCTCACATTATCACAGATTTCACTTCAAATGGCAGCAAACACACGTGCCGTTCGCTCCTCATCATCTGAATATTAATACTGTCATAGAGATGTTAGAAGCACAAACCCTAAAGCTGGCCAAACACAACAAAGACCATTTAGTATGTGGCAGTGAAATCAAATATTATCATTCTGTTATCAGTACCTCTCAATCAGTTCATTCTGATATGATTTTACAGCTACATAAATGACCTGAACATATATTTTCACCTGTCTTTGCTGTAAAGTTTCGTTCAAATCATAAGAAGCAGCTCAAAACTTCCTGAAAACTCATTTCATCTAATGAAAAGACCAAAAGATCTAGATCTGCACTACAACAAACTCTTCCGAATATGATGCAAACATGCATGAGTTGCGACAGCTACACTGTGATGAAAAGATATCTACTACAACAGAGGAAACATGACTGAAATATGAAATAAACTAAATACTGCACTCAAGCTCACACACACAATAACATCTACACATTCAGACTGAGAAATAAATGCCACTGGCGGGGTCAATTCTGTGCATTATTAGAGAAGAAAAGCATCTGGAGAGATGCAGATGACCAGATGTCCAATGTCCCGATGCGATTGGCTGGTTTTCTGCTCTGGAAACTCTATGTGGGACACAACACTGAAACAACAGACACGATTTGACAGATTAGTAAAAGCCTAATATATTACACTAGCGTTCAACAGTTTGGGTTCAGTCGGATTTTAAAAAATGTGATTAAAAATTACTGCTGTGCAAAGATTAATTGCGATTAATAGCATCCAAAATAAAGGTTTGTGTTTATATAATATATTTGTGTGTTCTGTGCATAATTATTTTGTATATATAAATACACACACATGCATGTATATAATTAAGAAAATGTGTTATTCATAAATAAAATATTTATATTTATATATAATATAGATTATACTATATATATAAGTATTTTATACTTATATATATAGATTATACTATATATATAAGTATTTATACAGTATTTATGTGCAAATAATTTTTAAATATATACATGCATTTACATATACAAAATAATTATAGCACACACACATTTAGGCGAGCATTTGAGCTTATAAAACTTAAACTTTCTTTTTTTTTTTTTTTAATGAGCGATCGTTTCGCTTGATAAGACTCTTATTCATCGTCTGAAATCGTTTATCTGAAACTGGACCGTTTGGTTCCCATTGATATCCATTACATGGAGAAAAATCCTGGAATGTTTTCATCAAAAACCTTAATTTCTTTTCGACTGAAGAAAGAATGACAAGGACATCTTGGAAGACATGGGGGTGAGTAAATTATCAGCAAAAGTTTTTTTAAAAGTGAACTAATCTTTGCATAGCCCTATTAAAAATGCATTCCTCGAGAATGCATGAAATTAATCCAAAAAAAATTATGTAGGCTAATTAAAGATATCTATTTTCAAATAAACTTTCTATTCATTAAAGAATCCTAAAAAAAAATGTAGCACAGTTTCCACAAAAATACAAAGCAGCATAACTTTTTAACATTAATAATAATCAGAAATGTTTCTTGAGCAGCAAATCCTCATATTAGAGTGATTTGTGAAGACTGGAGTAATGATGCTGAAAATTCAGCTTTGATCACAGGAATAAATAAATTACAGTTTAAAATCTATTAGTTATTTTAAATTATAATGTCACAATATTACTAATTCTACTGTATTATTGTATTTTCAAATAAATGCAGCCTTGGTGAGCAGAAGAGACTTCTTTTAAAAACAAAAGAAACTGGCAGATTCTAAACAGTAGTGTATATTATTGTGTTTTGCTGTACATTATATTGCCCTCTATGGGAGAAAATAATGTTTACGAACACACAGCACAGAGACAAACACAACACACACAGACAACAAAAACATATTCTACACATATTGGTGTATTTACTTGGATATTTTGGAGAAAAACTTATCCACAGAAGTGAGGTAAATCAGACAAATTCTCCCTTTGTGGATGTCCTTACTAATTATAAATACAATTTTAATGTTTTTTGTTGTTGTTGTAATTTCACTCCGTTAGTGTTATATGAAATCAACACACCTCTGTCTCCTGATCTCTCACACCAGTGCTAAAGTTCAAATGCAGCGAGAGCAAAAATAAAACACACAAGATCAATGAGGTTGAGACTGACAGTGGTGGAGATGGATGAGTGTTTCAGGTGTCTCTGGTACCTTTGAGGATGTAGTCTGTCAGAAGAGCAGGAACCGTGGCACTGTCCTCACGCATGGCATGAAGAACTGCAGAGGAACACGGATATATGGACAAAAACACACACATGGACCTTCTTTAAATCTGGAATTATTATCAGAACATATACTTTTATAACAATGCATTCAATATTAAAATCAAATATTATACATCACACACACACACGTTAAGGGAAAAATAAACGCATTAATATTAATGCATTTAACGCACATTAAAGGTATAAATTCTATCATTTACTCCCCCTCATGGCCATTGAAACCTAAATGTTATCAAATATAATATTTATTTCTAAAGCTACTTTTTGTAATGTATATTAGATGCTTCTCTAATTTAACACAATAATGACTTTATCTTTTGGGGGTAATTTCCCAACCAAATTTGATGTGTGACTAATTTGCGATTACTTAACCACCACTTGATGTAATTAGATTAAATTAGAGTAATACGTAATATGTTTAAACTCCACACGCATTCACTTGGACTCACTCTTGGTCAGGATCTGCAGGTCTTCCACAGACGGTGCTCCGCTGCTCCTGTCATACGGGATCACCGTCGTCAAATACTGAGACAAAGAACAAACAAAAAAAGGTCAAAAATCTAAAATAAATAAGTCCATTTTAATAGATAGATAATTAATCAGATTTTTCAACAATGAAATAACATGGGGAAAGAAAAAAAATATATTGTAGAAACAGTTTTGTTTTACATCGGTACGGAAGAGGACCAAGCAATAATAAAAAAAAAATAGAAACCATCTCGAGATTTAAGTCATTATAATGCTAGATTAAACTTGTTAAATTTCGAGAAAAAAGTCGAAGTACAATCTTGAGAATAAACTCATTAAATATCGAGAATAAAGTCGTGTTGTTTCGATAAAAAGCTTGTTAAATTTTGAGAAAAAAAGTCGAAATACAATCTTGAGAATAAACTCATTAAATATCGAGAATAAAGTCGTTGTGTTTCGATAAAAAGCTCGTTAAATTTCGAGAAAAAAAGTCGAAATACAATCTTGAGAATAAACTCATTAAATATCGAGAATAAAGTCGTGTTGTTTCGAAAAAAACTTGTTAAATTTCGAGAAAAAAAGTCGAGAAAAGGGCTTGGGCGCCGCTTTGCATTCAGGGACGTGGCGGCCATGTTGACAGCTTCGCAAATCCCTAAAAAATCCCTAAAAGGATGCTGAATTTACCGGGATACGTTCAATAGGGAAACCAGGGACTGGTATGTGGCTAAAACGGCATTTTTAACGGGTTGGATCCATTTGAAATTTCCAACAAACAGTGGGAGCACAGTGCGTTATGCTAACTTAATCCGGACAAAGCCAGGTAAACTGCGCTCCACCTAGCTGCTAGTTTAGTAACACTTATAGTGCTAACAAAGAACGTATATTGACAAGAAGTGAAAGCCAATAGAACGTTCCATTGCAACACCAGCGCCCAGCAGCAGCCCTACGCTTCCGCCATTTCGGGGTGAAAGTGACTCGGCAGTCATATAATATACATATTAGTCCAGTGCAGAGGACTGTAACGAGTCCAGTAACGAGTTTTTTTTTCTCAAAACACGACTTTATTCTTGATATTTAATGAGTTTATTCTCAAGTTTGTATTTCGACTTTTTTCTCGAAATTAACGAGTTTAATCTCGCATTATAATCTCGAGATGGTTTTTATGTTTTCGATTAATCCTCTTCCGTACATCTGGGAGTGGGAGACGTTCTCGGCAATAATACATTTGTTTGTTTGTTGTTTATAGTTTAACGCCATGCCAGCTACCCTGGCTGTATTCATTTTTATTTTATGCTAGATAAAAATTTCTTAACGTTACTTCATTCATAAGAGTCAACTAAAAATTCTATGAATTCTGACTGAATTAATTTAATCTATCCCAGTCCATTAAAACATGCTTCAGTAATAAATGGAATCTGGCAGGAGGGAAATAAAGGAGAATCTGCACCCGGTAACAGAAACATGAGTTAGTCTGGAGCGCCCTATACGACACCATGCGTAGGCAATATGATCCCAGCCATTTACAAACGGGACAACGTTTTACACCAACCACAGGATTGATTTTGTAAAGTTTGTTCGTTATACAACGATCCCATTAAGCTTTCCATTTCCATTTCCCCAAACTGTGGAATAGCCTTCTTCCACTTTGTATTAGAACTGCTCAGACACTCTCCGATATTAAATCTAAGCAAAAACTCATCTGTTTTCTTTGGCTTTTAGTGTATTCTAGAGATTAACAGAATCCCTTTTATTGTTTTTGTTTGTTCTTTGTGTGAATGGTGTTATAATTTGTAGTAGTGTATATAGAAATAAACTTGATATAGCCATTTCTTATGGATGTAAATGCTTATAATAGGTTTGAAGGTGGAATTGGGCCTGAATACATTTAAACAGGGTAAAATGTGTTAAAGGAAGCTGAAGTAGTATTGATATTGAAACTAGTTAAAACATTGACAGGCGTGGGATTCTGACAGAAAACTGTGGAGACTTCTGTGGATATTGTGTGGGTTTGATGAGCAGTTAGTAATCATCATCCTTACGGTTCCTGGCACATACGAGCGGTCGGATCTCTGCACTCCTCCTGTGGGCTTTATCTTCCTCTTCTTCTTCAGCAGCTCTCGATGCTCTTTCTGTCGGTTCTGCACGTCGATTAGAGCCGAGATGAACGTGTTCTTCACCTCCTTCTCATATTCCTGCTCCTCCCTGACTGCCAGCTGATCGATGAGCTCCTCTGAGAAACCCCGGATCTGACGCTCCACCTCCTCGAGACGCTCCAGCAGCTCGGACACACACAGACCACGCAACCCTGAAATACAGAAGAAACAACCGTCTCAGTCACAAGCTTATCTCTACTTCTACAGCACCATTATTTCATAACACCCTCATTTCAACCGCCCAGTTCTGTCTGAGATATAAAAGATATGTGTGAACATCTTACAACATTACAGGGCTCAAAAGGTACTTCCATTTTACATTTCAGCAAAATAAACTAGAATATGCCAGGCAGGCAAATATCTCATTTCTACACACTGCCACACAAAGTACTATGCTAATGTACACGCAAAGTATTCCAAGTTAAACAATTATGCAAATATTATTATATTTGTTTAATTACTTAACAGGAATAAAGAAGAAAAAAAACACTAAGAACAGTGTTTTTAGTTTCCTATATCATTACATTATATTTGAGTGTTTTTTTTACACATACTCCTGATGCATTGAAATTAAAATTCTGGGGCGAAAATAAATAGTTTAAATTGCACATAAGGCAGTTTTTATATTAATGTTTTAATAATAGAATTATGTTTTTAATCCAATTTGTTGGTGAAAACAAACATTTAAATGATAATAACGACATTTAAATGATAATAAAAGACATTTCTAGGAACAGGTTAAGTAAAAATATAATGAATATGTGATATAGTGCATATATTTATCAAAACTGTCTTCTTTAGAGATCATTTTACTACCTAACTATTAAAGCTAGTCAATGAATGGCTTATCTGAGGTAAATAGGACATTAAGTGACATTGTTCTCGAGCTGTTTTATTGACATCTTTACACAGTTTGAGTGATTACAAGATACAAGATCCACTTCTGTGAGTTGTACTGTATCTTTCAGCATACCTTCTGATGTTATTTAGTCTTTTAATAACATCAAAATTGCTGTTTCGGACTAAAATTTAAAGGGGCCCAAATTTTGGTGAGTCATTAATACATACAATAATTGCACATCTTAATTATCTAATGCAGGGTTGACGAAAATCAAATTATTAATTAAATCATAAAAAGTTCACATTAAAACAATAAAAAATAAAAATGAAACGCTAACTAAAAATATTAAATATTTCATTTGTTTCCCTGCATGCCATGTGACCATTAACCGATATCAGAGAAACGTGAACATGTGATTTTAAATGATTGAAATATTAACTTAAAATCTCAGGAGGTAGTGGTATTTCAAATAATGTTTTAGGTGAAAAGGTTTTGGCTAACAAAAAAAAGTTGTGAATAAAGACATGCAGTCCTTACGTTCCTCGCAGCTGCTTCTGGATGTAGAGTGTGTGAGTGTGTGTAACTCATGCGACATCATGGAGAGGTCAAACTGAGATGGACTCTCGTGTTCCTCGTCATCTGGAGACTCCTGCATGATCTCTTCAATCTCCTCTATCACCTGATTAACACACACAGGTTATGGAGATTAATGCTCAGGTTTGTCAAGAGTAAAGACAAGTCACATTTATTTATATAGCGCTTTATATGCGCAAAATATGTGGCGTTCACGCTCTGCTGACGATTGCTATAAGTAACATAGCAAAACCGTTGTCATTTAGGAATAAGATTGCATGGGTGTTTGAATCGTATCATGATCTTTTAACGATTAATTGTGACTATGACTGACCCTCATTAATATACTCTCGGGTTGAGTGTGAATACCTGTTCTGCAGTAAACAGCGGCTCCTCGTTCACACAGGAGATGATGATCGTGTGCATGTCCATCTGATCCCTGAGCTCCTCGTCATCAGAAACGTCAAGATTACGAACTTCCGTCGTCTATAACACACACACACACACACACACAGTGTGAGCTCTGTCTGCACGGACTGAAGGGAAAGATGAATGGATGGACAGATCTCACCTCCTGAGGTCGGAGGTTCAGTGTGGGCAGGTGTAGTGAACGAGTGTGAGAGGTTTTCCAGTCCACTGGCATCACGTTGCCGTAGTTCTCCGTCAGAGCATTCCATATCCTGTGAAATAACAAGAAAACAGAAGAATAAATAAGACAAACAGTATCTATAACCTCTAATAAGGTTCATATATTCACATTATTGCTTTCTTAAATTTAACCCTGTAAAGTCTAACATGAAATAATAGTCAGAAATATATAATGAAATTTGTTTTTTGAACATTTACACAAAATATAAAAAAGGTTTGAATATGTATTTTATAGTTTGTATCATATTTGATACAACAGACTGGGTCATCATATAATGCAATGCAATACAATCGAGAGAGGAACAAAAAAAAACTGTTCCTAAAAAGCCTGAAGTTTCATATTGATGCTCACATTTTAACATTTTTTTTAAAAATAAAAATGATCTATGGATAATCAAGTAAACATAAGTTCCTTCAGTCCATTAAATGTTCATCATAGAACACAAGTAACTTTTATATTGTTAATGTTTACTTTATAAAAAATAATTAACGATTTCAATCTTATTTAATTACGTGACACTGATACGACCTTTACATAACACTGGAACAAAAATGGTACTTTGTATTTCCAAGAATAACATGGTACCATGGTAAATGTCAAAAAAAAAAAAAACATTACATTATTTTAGTGTAAATAAAGAATCACAGCCACAGTGAAATCTATCAACTAATTCTCCACAACATGGAGTTAAGTTATTAAAACGGCAACGTGTATATTTATATAAAACTCTTTAAAGATGATTATATATTACAAGATATTTCACGTAATAGTCTTATTTTGAGATGTTGTTGTCACTCACTCGTCGTCGCGCAGCAGCTCGTGCTCGCTCACGGCGCGCACAGAGACGCTCGTGAACGCGCTACTCGAGTCAGGGAAGCTCGCGCTCAGCGTCTCGTCGAAGGATGCGAAACTTTGGATCTGCGGGGAATTCTCCGGTTCCGCGGTCCAGCTGGTGGTCGAATCGGCCGCTTTGAATTCGTTAAAATCCTCCCAGTCTTCATCGAGAGGAGCGACTGGGGCAGCCATAACTGCAGGGAACGACTGGGACAGAGCGCGCGCGAGGGGGCGGGGCGACGCTGCCACGCAAACACGCGTAATCAAAGCGTTTTTTTTTGTAAATCTTTTTAGTTACTAAAAAATACACGCGTATTTTTTTGCGTACAAATATCCTTATAGTAGAATTTTTTATAATAATTTAAAATATTCAAGTCACATTTAATTAAATAGCGCTTTTTACAATACAGATTGTCTCAAAGCAGCTTTAAAGTGATGACAGGAAAATAATGCAACAGAGTTTGTTTCCGGAAGAAAATAGCTTCACAGTCCAGCTTAATTAAGTTCAGTGATGGTTCATTTTTGTTGTAAAAAAGTTAACTAAGCAAGCCAAAAGCCAATGGAAACAAAGGTGAAAAAAGGTGACAGTGGCAACTTAGGAACCAAAACTCCATCAGGTAGCAGAATTGAGAAAAAAGGCCAATACACCAAAATACCGCCATGTAGAAATCTAATTAAAGCAAAATAAATAAATAAAAATTTAAATAACTAGTTAATTTTTTTAAATGTAAAAAATAGAATTATTTCAAGTAGTCTACATTATAGTATCATGTAAAATAAATACCATTGTATATTAATGATCATTCATACTATACTTTTACTATACCATGGGACCACCACAGTACTTTTCATTGTGGATTACTCTTGTTGTAACAAAGGTAACCAAATATCCTGTAACGGTTTATGAATTGGTCACTAAACAAAACAAAAAAAAAACCTAACATTTTTTAACAGTGGTCTTGTGACCCCATGCAGTTCAATGTGAAATGCCTCATGTTTCAAAACCCTGAATGCTTTATTGAAAATATGCATACATAACACTTCCTACACAACAATACAAAACAGTACAATCACTTTTGAAATAACACATTTAATGCAAATGGGATGCCCTTCGGACAGGAGCAGTTATGACGAAAACCTCTCACACATCTGATTCACAGTCAAACATGAGAGCAACACACCTGCAGTTAGCTGGAAAAAAAGAGACCCTCTTGCATATGGTTAGTAGAGTAACAATACTACCCTCTTCATCATCATCATCATCATCAAATGCATTAAGAGTATGTCTACTGCTGTAATAATGAGCAGGCTTGTTTTTACTTCTTTAAAACAATGAGGAATAGCCAAAAAAAGTGACAAACTGCTCTCAGATCAGCTAAATCAACAGCAAAGACGTGTCACAGTGCACAAGCATCAGCCTGGTCCAAGCAGCAACCAATTATTGTTGAGATTTTATTAGATGTTTATTTGCTAATGGCACAAAATGGTCCTCAAGTAAACAGGCAAAATCCAATGAAAACCAAAACAGGCAGATGTTGCTGGGCAATGCAGAGATTTCACTGACGCCATTCTATATCAAAATCCATTTTTACAAATCTTTAATAACTAAAATAGTCATTGGAACAATAGAATTGATCATAATCACAATTGCTTTTATAACGAATTTCACGTTGCGCTTTAGCGCCCAGCTGTTAAAATTCATAAAGTTGGCGAGGGTAAACCCTTAAAAATGTTTAATAAAGTGTTTGATGCGAGTTTAGAAAAGATTGTGAAATAATCTGGATATCCATTTATACTTCCACCTGCGAGGCAAAGGCCGGGGCGTTTAGCACCATCTTATGACTGCGGAAATAGATATGAGGATGTTAATAAAATGATGGTTAACGTAATAATATATATGTTTATAATAAAAATAAAAAGAATGCTAATAATGCTTAAATAAAATATTTAAAAAAAGAGGAGACAAATTATCTGGTTATAGTTTAATATAATGATACAGAGATTAAATCAACCAAAAAAAAAAAAATCTTGTAAACCAAAAAAAGTAACAAAAACTTCCATAAAAACAGGCAGAAAAGCATTTCTTTTCAAACATTTAATATCAGTCCATAGCAAATATTTATTTCTCTCCAAAAAAAGGGGGACTCGAATGCTCGATATTTGGTGTAAACAGCTCAGATCAGGGAATTGAGCGTGTGGATCTAACTGAACTAACGTACAGGCAGAGATGAAATGGTTGTGGATATGTAGTGCGGTCGGAGACGGTTTATTTTAATGCTGGTATGGCTGCTGCAAGAAACATTATATCTGGGGTCTCAGCTCAAATGTTGCTGCATAGGTCATTTAAACGCCACAAACTCCTCACCAGGAGCCGAATATCTGATTGACAGTTTGAGTGTCACAGTATCTTTTCTTTTTAAAGCTGTCGGCACGTTTTCACGCACGCTCCGTGTAAGGAGAACGTGCGTTTCGCTCTCAAAGTCACGTTTCCGATCAATTTTTCAAACTAGTATGACAAAGTCTCTCTCCTGAACGCCACCTCTAAGGTAAGTGGTGAAAACAAGGAACTTCGCTAATAGGTTTCTTAAAAAAAAAAAAAAAAGGATACAAAATGGTTCTCAAGTTTTTGTTCCACAGACGAAGGTCTCTGGGGCTTCGGTCAGATTCTGTTAAAATGATTAATACAGCTAAACAGGGGACACGCTCACGCTGGTGTGAAAACAGTGCCACATGCGAACGTACACCAACTTCAGGCACATTTAATCACACACTAACACACACACACACACACACGGCTGTGCTACAGGAGGAAGCAGAATTTGAGTCCGACGCTCAAACTCTCAGAGATCAGAACGTGACCTCTGACCCCTGCTGATGCGTGACGTGGGCCCGGTGGAAACAAATGCATTTGTGTTCTGAAAGATAAAAAAGAAAAACTACAGCACTCCATCATCAACACTAAAAGCCCAAGCTGATCAACTGCTAAAGGAACAAAAGAGAATTGCTAGGACTAGGATTTCTTTTTTTTTTTAAAAAGTGTTGTGTCCCTTTGCCGCTGGAGGATTGAGAGCGAGAGAAAAACATTGAGTGTGAGTTTAAACACCCGGCCGAACCCTGGTCACCCACCCCGGCGCTCGAGCCTGATAGGCGGCATCTTGTCTTCAGGCCTAATGTAAGGGTCATAATGTGGAAACACGGGGAACCCGATGGGAAAGAGATCAGATCCGTGGTTATGGAAGCGGGTCCCTAGTATGGAGATCAGCGTCAGGGGTCTCCGCTGCCTCCGGACTCCTGAAAGCGAGGCTCTGGATCGCGTTTGCACTCTTGTGTGTCGTTGTGGAGGAGGGCAATGCTGTAATCGTGTTTTTCTCTGTTGGACTTCGCATATTTCTTGTAATAAGAAGCCGTCTGTTCCAGGGCTGCCGTCAACTGTCCATACTGTTGCAACTCTCTGAGAAAAATGAGAGATGGACATGTGATGGCAACACTTTTACTCAATTGATCATGTGACAGTAAAGACATTCATAATGTCACAAAAGATTTTTTGTTTCAAATGAATGCTGTTCTTTTGAATTTTTGATTCATCAAAGAAAAAAATGCATTTTCAACAAAAGCATTAAGCAGCACAGCTGAATTTGACATAATAATAATAATAATATAATAATAAATGTTTCTTGAGAAGCAAATCATCATATTAGAACAGCGGTTCTCAAACTGGGGGCCGTGGCCCCCTGGGGGGCCACTACATGGCGCTAGGGGGGCCGTAAAGAAATTCTAGAATATGAAATGATTTAAAAAAATTATTTTACCTGTATGTAAGTTTGGATTGTCCTATGTGAAATCTGCATTGCATGATTTCTTTTATATTGTAAAACTTGTATAAAATTGAATGTCTTCTATATTGAAAAAGTATTTCTTTAAGTAGAGTAGAATTTTTTTTTGTTTCTTGCTGAAAAAAAAGATTGCTGTTCAAATTTTCAAACCAAACTTGAGCCATGTCATTTATTACCTTAAAATGTAAGAAGTTTAATGCACTTTTTTACAATCAGCAAATTAATTTTTCAGTGTTCATCTTTTACTATGAACATCACAAATGTTCAGTATTCAATACTTTTGTTGCACTTTTCAGACAATATTACTGTTAACTGTCAAAACCATTTTTTATAAAAAATTGTTATATTTAATGAAATGTACAATTTAACTAATTTTGTATATTCAAAGACATAAAGCTAAAAACAGAACTGTTGTTCCAGCATTGTACAAATTCATTTGTTTTTGGTACAATCTAAAATTTGTAAGTAAAATTGTACGTTTGAGGATGTTTTCGTTATGAGTTTTCTTTTGGGGGGCCACAAAAGGATTCACCCTACACAAGGGGGCCTCCTCCTGAAAAAGTTTGAGAACCACTGTATTAGAATGATTTCTGTAGGATCATGTGACACTGAAGACTGGGGTAATGATGCTGAAAATTCAGCTTTGCATTACAGGAATAAATTGCATCTTAAAATATATTCAAATAGATCCACTCAACAGGCAAATTGAATAAATACATTAACAATAAAAAATAAAAACAAAAAAATTATATTATATTTATATATTTATATTATATTAAATTTAATTAAAAATATTGTAATAAATATTTCTCAATATTACGAGTTTATATATATATATATATATATATATATATATATATATATATATTATTTTTTTTATTTTATATATATTATTTATATGTTTATATATAATTATAAACTCATAATATTGAGAATGTTTTCAAAAACAATGAAAATTTTTTGAAAAACAACTTTTGATAATATAATAATAAATATTTGATAATAATGATATAGTAGTAATAATAATAAAATATTATGAATCAATAAAAAAAATTGACTGGATTGTGAAAAGTTGAAAAATACAAAAAAAATTACAAAATGCAAATTACAAAATATATTTTTTAGAATATGCTGAAACCAGGATTGTGTTAATCAGTCAATCCTATTTATTTAAAAGGTATAGCGGAGGATCTTTCCGAATTTTAGAGAAGACCCGGCCTCTCCAATTTTTTTTTATATGCACATGCACAACACTCTTGCTCCCGAGAGGGAATGCCTATTACGCCTTACACAATTATGTTGAAAATTATAAACTAACTCAAAAACATTCATAAAAAAGGCAAAATGTCAAATGCCCTTCCGTGTTTTATTTACTTATTATACTGATCGATTGAATGACCGAGGACTCGAGACATGATATGTAATGGAGAAGTAGCTTGTTGCACTTGTGTAATAATACTATGGTTAACGCATTGGAATTATTGAAAATGAACACACAAGGTTTTAGAATATTTCAGCGTGATACCATTTACCATTTGGTCAAAAGGCAACTTTAGACAAATTGAGATGTTTACCGTGTCTACGTGGTGCATGACTTGTGCCAGGGCTAGCATCGCTACTCATAGCTTACATTAACTTTTACTAGAAGTGATTTTAAATGGATTTCTCCAAATAACATGACAAACTTTACCTGTCTGGTAGAATCTTCACGACTGCGGCATCAGTGGGAAGCTCAACCTGTGCTTTTAGCGTATGCCAGCGTGTGAAATATTCACCCAAAATCACTCTGGTCTTGTTTCTATATTCTGCGGCCTTTCTTTTCTTATCATACACTTCGTGTACATTTTTTCTCTTTCGACCCTCAGCCATTTTCAAAGGAATGGCTGAAACCGTAACTCAGACATAATACACGCCTTACGTAAACATATCACCAGAATAATTGACACTTAGGTGGACCAATAGTATAGTCTACCCACCAGGAACAAGAAAATCCTCTGCTATACCTTTAAGAATGTTATTGAAACTCACATTTAAATAGATTATTGCTGTCTTTATGGCAAGTATTATTGAGAGTGATAGTATTTTTTGCTTGTGCATCAACTAGGCTGAAACCTGAAGAATCAAAGCTGTAACTCGCAGTGTATTTACACTTGCTGTATATTCTGCGACTGGATAGACTGGTCTGTACCATTGAGGCCGCCCAGCTCTTGTGCGTCCAGGAAGGGTGCGGGTCCCCAGATCCGGACTGTGCCGTCATCAGAAGCGCTGGCCATGAGACTGGGAATACACGGGTTCCAGCTGACACAGTTCACCGTGCGTGTGTGTCCCGTCAACTCCACGATCGGCAGCTCGCTGCGCTTGTGCCAAATATATACCTTATGATCTGAGAGACAGAGCGAGATTGAGTGACACTGGTTTAAAATACACCTGAGCAAAGCAGCGAGGAATAAAAGTAAGTTACCTTCACTGCCGCTCGCGATGAAATCCTCGTTGTGTCCACCGAAGCAGGAGTGAATGGTGTAGAAACCCTGTTGTACACCCTGAAACTTCCTGACCAACACACGGTCCTGTAGGTCCCAGAGATGAACGCCCTGACACAAACACACAAGATATGGTTAGGACACATTCACTTATAAACACTGAATATAAGTAAAACATCACAATTTGAAGATATGGAAAAAATAAAAGATAATATTACTGCAATATTCTCAAATTACTTAAAAATAACTACTGTAAAAAACAAAACTATCATTACATTATTTTAAGAATCATTAATAATCATTATAACAATTATTAAATGATAAAGAAAATAATGATAATGTCGTTCCATTCAAATAAAATTTTCTCGAAAATAATTGAAAAGAAAATTAAATAATAATAAAAAAATAATCAATAATTCAAAAGCTAAAAAGCAAACAAATTAATGTAAAGTTAGTAAACATAAGTATTGCAGCAATGAAATAATACCTTAAAAATGAATGAAAATCAACTAGAAAATTAAATATTTTATTTAATAATAATTAAGAATGAACTACTATTCTTTTATTGTTAAAAACATGAATGAACCCAAGATCCATATGCTTACCTGAGTTGCAACATTTAACAAAGCTAATCTTCCATTCTTAGAAACAGTGAAAGACATTATTGGATGATCCTCCTGAACTCTAGAGTTGAATCAAATAGAGAAGTGAAAGTTCAGACACAGCTTCCAAAACTCACAACCATCTGAAAAACGAACATCTGCTTACATGTTTCTGTCTGTTAGGTCCTCGAAACTGTATCCACGGATCCGCTGGTGCGTATCAGAGGCGAGAACAGTCCGGCCGTCGTTCATGCACCAGAGGCACTGCACGCGCACGCCTTCCCACGACTCCAACAGGTTTCCGTCAAGATCCTGTCCAAGCACAACCAACAAATCATTTATGTAGTGCTTAATACAAAGCTGCTAAAATTGTTTTAAAGCAGCTTCACAGTAATAAAGAGGAAAATAACAATCAAACTACAAGTGTGAGAAGCTTGAAAAAGACAATAGTGTCATTATTCAGCTCAAGTCAGTTCAGATTGATGACTGTAAAGTTCATCATTACAAGTCCATTTTGAACTTACACATTGGTAAAACTGCCCTCTCTGTCCTCCTGTAACGAAGCGCTTGGCGTCGGGGTTCCAGGCCACACTGGTCAGGCTGTCCTCGTGAGACTGACTCATCTTTGTCCGCAGTTCTCCTGTCTGACCACCAGGTGCAAGAAGAGAGTCAAAGGTCAGAGATGAGCTAAAATTAGTCTTCACGAAATTCGAAATTGAATGCTTCCGAATACTATATAGTATTGTTTGTCTGAATAACTGTGCTCGAAAAGTCCTGAAAGATGACCTACTACTTCCGGTGAGATCCTGAAGTGCGCATATGATGGACACTTTACTATCCCATGAGGACACGGGAGAGGATTTGACAATGACAACATGGCGGATGCAGTACGTATGGATTACATTCATACTACACACTTTCATACTACATAGAACGTACCTTTTTAAAGTAAGTTCAAATGTAATGTCTGCTCAAACACACTTCAGTGGTGAATCAACCAAAATGGGTTTTTAATAGCAAATGCTGATATTTTGGGTGGCTGATGGCCAATTTAAGACCTGATTTATTACACAATTTAATTTAAGGAAAGTGAATAACACAATGATAATGTGACTGTATTAAAATTTAACACAATATTAAGTTCAAAAATCATTACAAATAAATTAATAAGAAAAATAATGATTAATATTCATTATTTTATTGTAAAACATCAGAAATTAATTTTAAAGAGAGTAAATAAATCACTACTGCAATAAAATGTAACAGTATTTTCAAAAATAATCTATAAGTAAATCAATGAGTTTGAAAAATCTGAAATAATTGTAATAATTTTCAACACATTTATAAAACAAAAAAAATGTTTAAAGGTAGTTAATATAAGGATAATATTGCCACAATAATTTCAAAATTTGAAAAAAAAAATAAAAAAAAAAAGAACATAATTTTTTGATTTTGGATATTGTAGTAATGACAAAAATGTTTTCTCTTTTTTTCTTCTTGCAATAAATTGAAGAGCAAAGGCTGTGTATTACATACCTAATCAATGCTTTATCTATGCATTTGATCATTTTCAAGTAGCCAGAGAATGATGGAAAGTGCCATATAAACCTTTAGCCTCAAATGATCCAATCATGCTTTATAACAATTCTACATCAGTAAACAAAACGAGCAAACTAAATAATAATCCACCAGTAAAATGTATATTACAATCAATTAATAAAATAAAAATATTGAGCCAAAACAAATTTTGGAATTTGTAAATGCAACAACGACTAGAAGGTAGTATTAGATCAGCCCAGATTTAGAAGATCTCAAGCTAAAATGCATATTCTGGCAAATCAAAGTACATTAGGATGTGCAGTGCGTTTACCTGAACGTTCCACAGCCAGAGCTCAGAGCAGTCGTCCGGACCGCAGGCGATCAGGTAAACGTCATCAGGACTCCAGGCGAGATACGACACACCGTACGCGTGACCCTCCAGAGTCCGTAAGAGCTTCAACTGATGCGAGTCCTGTGTGTGAGAGTGGATATTTACACCACACCATCCCACTTCAAACAGAGCTATTCAAGAGGTCAACTCTCACTGAAAAAGTTTGACTTCCGAGATGCTCAAATGTTTCGTTGCACGTCCACATGAAAGACGACCTCACTCACCGGCTCCACCTGCCAGATGATCACGGTTGTGTCCTTCGAGCCGGTGGCGAGTTTAGTGCCGTCGTTGGAGAACTTGCAGAACCAGACTTCATTGCAATGCTCTGTGAGGATCTGCTGTGTGTAACAGGGAAACTGTTTCCTGCAAACACAAACACGGAGATGTTGAAATCGTTGAGAGCGCAGGAGGGTGTGTGTGTGTGTGTTGCGTTTGAATATGTAAACGCAGCACACCTGGTGCAGACATGATCCAGCAGTAAGGACACAGAGTCCAGACTGGAGTCTAGTTTGGTGTTGTGATAAAGGCAGCGATCTCTCTGCATCTCCACAGCCTGTCTGAGCAGCGTCTGCAGCCGCCGAGGAGGCAACATTACAGAGGGGGGCAGGTACGCTAAACGATACACACAAACACATGAGTAGAATTAAGATCGATTATATCAAGTTAATAGAAAACAGAGAAAAATTGGGGGTTGTGCTTGTTTACTAGGCTATGCGCTGAAGACAAAAATACCCTCAAATATGAGCTAAATCTGATAAAATTTCCATTTTGTGATGTGCTTAAAAGCAATGATTTTTTTTTCCATTCTAAAAGTTCAAAATCATTAAAAAAAAGTTAATTCTTATAAGATTTATATTTATTATACATAAAAATAATACAAGTCTTATATCCATTTTATATCTTATATCATTTAAAATGATGATAAGCCAGGGTTAGGCACAGTGTGAAAAGCCCTCAGAAGACAATGGTATGTCCTCCTCACATATATATCTTTGTAAATGCATGTTTGTATACTCACCCTGGAGCTTGTCCAGTAATCTACAACGTGATCCAGCGCCTTTTCCCTCCCATTCTGCCTTTACCTTCAGATCCTCAGCATGGCTGCACATCAGATACCTTAAAAACACACAGCAAATCAAAGCGAGCCATCGACACCGATCACACTGATATTCATAGTACAAGATCTCAATAGTAATACATTTTAGCAATTAGGGATAAAGGAATTTCCCTTGCAGTGCTTATAAGTGGCTAATTATCACGATATGCGATTCTATCGCCATTTTTAAAATGATTTATTTTTGCTGTATAAATAACCGTTACAATGTGGTCAACAGGCACGAGGATGCAGATTCAAAACCAAAACAGGCTTTATTAATAATCCAAACACTCTAAATGAACACGCAGGAGAATAATGCATATAAAACGAGAACTGAACAAGAACTGAAACACGGGGCTATTTAAATAGGGGTAGGAAAGTAAACTAGACATATGCGAAACTAATATGCAACTATACAAACAAATAAGGACATAATAATCAGTAAACAACAAAACCCGAAACTAAACAGAGCGGGGAAACAGGAACTAAACGAAACAGAACAGATCAAAATACTGGTCCTCTTAAAAGAACATAAACCAGACAATAAGCTTGTGGTGGTGTTGTTTGTAAAGTGTAGTTAGGCACAATCCTCAAATCTGACTAGATGAGAGGGTAAGAATGATGATATTTCCCAATAGAATCCAGCATCAGCACTGTGCTGGTAAATCATGGGATGGGAAATACCCTTAAACGTTGACAGGATGCTATGGAAAATATTTTCCTTTCCTCTTCGGACATGGAAAACCTTTTTTTTATGAATATATGACTTGCCCAGAAGGATAGACACGTAATTGCACATGCTCATTCAACCTCTCCCTCTCTCTGTTTAGACTTGTTTTGTGCAAAACAACAGAGCCTCTGTACAAATCCCAATTGTACAAAAGAGCCAGTTGGCAGAAGAAATGTCTTATTATTTAACATTCAATACACATGCATGAAGTGTAAAAGAATGCGATGGCGTTATGAAAAAAAAACCAATAATGTGACGATCGCGGTTGTGGCAGTTACTTGCATTCCTCTGCGGTTGGCTTGTAAGTATCATGGTATGACAATATTGTGGTTATCGCGACAGCCATATTAGCAATAACAAACATACCTTATAAGACAGAGAAATTGTTTATTACTATTAACAATGGCAAGTATGTTAATGTGTCATGTTTAGTACCCGCTGAGCATGTGGATTCGATCAGTGTTGTATTTGAGTGGAGTCAACTCTCCTCTCAACACTTGCAGAGCTTCCAGAACTTTTCCGTCCTCCAAATACTCCAGATACTTCTGCTGTAATAGCAGAAACTTCATCCGCTAGAAAGAAAGAGAGGAAGACTCACTTCAGTGACCCAATCATTTATCATACCCATGGCAGCACAGTCCACTTTACATTCAAACAACAGTCAGAACTAATATGGAGACACAACAAAAGACATGGTTACAACTAAAATGGCAACAAATAAATCTGAGCCCCATTTGAAGGACATGCAAAGACAACTAGGTTCAGTTGTTTCAGTTATAAAGGTTAGAGTTTGGTTCTTTGAAGATGAAACACCCCGAGATCGGTTCAGGTCAACAATCTCAAATCTGTGCAGCAAGAAACCAGAAATGACCAGGGACTGGCTGCATTAGTTACGACTTAGCTTAGTAACTATAAACTAATACATATTTACAGAACAGGATGTTCACTGAATTGGATCAATAAGCTCATGTTTTACCTGAGAAACAACAATTCTTCAAACATAGAAGATGAAGTTGACGTTTACACTCATTTTTACATGTTAAGAGAAAGAACATTTCATGAATAATTGTTAGCGGCTCTTCAAAACCAACCCTAACTAAACACTGATTGTCAAACAAAATCAATCATAATAAATAATCTAATTTCCTATGTTTGTTTGTATCAGTATTTATTGGTATACTGATTTTCTGAATGCTATTTACACAAAATACTTTCTGTTATTTCATGATTATTCATTGCATTTCAGTGGAAATTTATTTTTAAGCTACTTGAGGCAAAAAAAGTCAGTAGCACCTCATTGCAGTACACGAGATCCAGGGGGCGGAGTTGGATCCAGATCTAAGGGGTGGAGATGAGTGGGATTAGGGGTGGGGTTAGGGATCAGGGGGTGGAGATGGGTAGGTTTAGGGGCAGGGTTAGGGATCAGGGGGTGGAGATGGGTAGGTTTAGGGATTAGGTGGCGGAGATGGGTAGGTTTAGGAAATAGGGGGCAGAGATGGGTAGGTTTAGGTATATGCAAGGTGGGAGATCCAACTCCTCCCCCTAGATTTTGTGTTCTGCAGTGAGGACCATCTCAAAAAAGTTCAAATAAACTTTAACAGGATAAACTGAAATTCACTGTTTCAACAACTTCTGCTCACAAATGTGAAGGGTGCTACTGGGTCATTGAATGTAAACATCATATTATGCAACTATGCATTTCTTTAGAAAGACGTTCTGCCTCAAGAAGACATGGTGCAACCAAACTTAATACAGAGTTACAAACTAGCCAGTACTTACTAAGCCTTTAATGTGGGCTTGACGTTCCAATTTAAGAAAGAACTTATGACAGAATGATTTCTACAACACTTGTTCCAGATGAAGCTTCAGAAGCTTTCAGCATTAAGAGTGCATGTGGCTGGCCGGGTCTGGTGGTCTTACCACAATAGCGTTGGGTGAATGCATCAATGCTTTTAGCTCGTTGAGGTCGTTTTCAGCCTGTGTCACAGAAAGAAACAGAAGCATCAGTTCAGCATTGTGTGGAAAAATACCATCAACCATAGTACAGTCACAGCACATAGGTTTTACTTTAAAACCTTCAAGCTTAGTTACAAAAGAAGTCAACTGACCTTAAAACTCAAAATGGTTGGTATGAAATATAATAGCCCCAAAAAGTATCTGGACACATTATTCATACTTCAATTATCTGAATATCTTTGCATTAAAAAACCAAACACGAAAAGTGTAGTGTATTTAAAGAAAGATTAAAAATCAAACTTTAACCAAAAACTAAAACTAAAACAAATTCCATTTATAAGATGAAAAGAAGCATTAGGTGGTTTTAAAGTTGCCTGTATAAATAGAAAGAAAACCAGTAAAGAATTAGATGGAAAAATAGGATTCAGCTTTTCCACTGTTAGTTCAGAACAAACAAAAGAAATCCCCAAATCCACAGAAGTGACTGAAACAGTTCCTCAAGCCAGGAGCACAATTTCTACATAGTTTGTTTTATCATTCCCACCACAAGCTCTCAAAATGTCAGCATGTCCTGACATCTTAGAAAATCTTGGTTTCAATGGTCCAAACCCACATCCAAACTTTCCTAAAATCAGGTGAGAGACGGTCAAATAAACCTAGTCCTTCCTGTACAAAATACAGCATATCTGGATTGTTTTTATTTTTAAACGACACTGCAGCATATGTGAATCCACTTTTCAACTTTTTTCCACTTTTTGGTCATGAAGTGTAAAGGAAAAGGAAAGACCTGCAATCATGACCTGAAAAAAAAAAAAAAAAAATCATATTTGTGGTTGGAGAAAAGAATGGCTGAATTCACCATGGAGCCAAAACTCTGTGCATGCAAAACCACATAAATCAGAAAGAATTAAGGTCTCTTTTAAAAATGACCTTTCACATCTCCCTCATTTACATATTTACATGACCTTTAACCAGCAGTTGACCCATCAGTCAGCATGTCAGACCTTTTAATAAAGCCCTCACAACTCATTCTACATCAATAAAGTGACTTTTTCAAGTGAAACTAGATATTTAAAGAGGAAAAGAAGTAATTTTATCCATTGGGAACTGACTGGATTGGTTGTTTTTTGTTTAATTTAGCACCACAGCTACCATGGTTATATTCATGATGAGAGACAGTGGGAAAAAAACTAGAAAGAGTACAACAAATCAACCACAAATAATAAAAATGTTTATTTAAAATGTAAAGTTTATCTTTAATTTTACAAAAAAAATCTAAAACTAAATCTGGCCTCACTTCATTAAACTTAAGAATTCAAAAGTGGTTGGAACATTAGCCAAAAGTAAAAGACTAGTTATCCGGGTTCCCAGACACAACAAAATCCATACTCAAATTTCCAGAACTCCTTCAAAACGATTTTTCAGATCATATTAAGGATAAATGGTTCATACAGCATTATTTTTGTCTCCTGTAGTACAGTATAGTACAGTCATCTGTCAATATTTTTATTTTCTCTGCTTTATAGCCTGTATATTCACACCTGACACATCAGTTTTTATACTGTAAACGTGGTTTGATGTGGCACGATCACCAAACAAAACAGTCTGATTTATGACGATCCTTTGCTCCTTTATCAGTTGCTGGTCCACACATGGCACACACACATTCATTTAGTGAAGTACAAAAAAAAAACCTAGCTTATGGTAAAAACACGTTTTGCATAATGAAATTGTGCACTCAGACGTGTTAAAAAAATCACTAAACACTCTTGTATGATAGATTCATCTTATTTCTCTCACTTAATTTTATATTTTAGAAACTTGAATAGGGGCAAGCCTGGAAACAAATATTTCCCATACTGTTTTCTCTTTATTCCATACTTATCCAGACCAGGAAATTTAACTCTGATCAAATTCCATTCTTTTGCAAACTGCGTAGGAAACAAACCCTGTATTATTATGAAAGATTACAAATACGAACATATTATCTTTAACATGCACTGATGCATCATGCAAAATAAAAGCACAGAATGCAATTAAGAATGTATTGAGAAAGCACATGGGGTAAACATTGATAACCGTGATAACAGTGACTGTCTTTCCTGACAACTTTGAATCTAAACCATCAAAATGATATATTGCCCCAGTTTCACAGATAAGGCTTAAGCCTAGTCCCAGATTAAATGCATGTTTGAGGAGTTTTACCAAAAAGCAATTTGCACAAGCATATCTTAAAATATATGCTATATATAACCAGCATGTATTCATATCAGTTTGTTACCGTAAATGTGGCTTTGTTGTGCCATTGTTTTGTCTCAGTAAGATACATTTATAAAAGCTACTTAAATGTCCTAATTGAACTAAGGTCTAATCCTGGCTTAATCTAAACCATGTCTATGAAACCAGGCTTAAATATGTCATGTGGAATAAGCTCACCTTGTCCCATTCCCCTTCCATGACGTGGTTGCGAAACTTTGTGGCTGACGGATGCTCCAATCTACAGCCCGATTCCTGCATCAACAAATCCACCGTCTGACTAAAACAGAGACAGATAAAACATGGCTCATTTATTACACCTTTATCAAATACCATAATTAAAGCTTCACCGTTTCAATTTGCCATCTTTGAGAAATACAAAAGCTAGTTCTTCAAGTACTGTTGCCATCTGAAGTTAAAAGGCCAACTATTAAACTCTCTAACACTGATTACTATGTATTAATGGTTTCATAAAAGCAGTAAGACAGTGTATGTAATGCATGTACGTACTGCTATGTAATAAAAATAATCATTTCTGAAGTTGTTCTGGGTGATTTTGTGTGTGATTACCTGCGGCACTCGGCCACATCACAGTTATTATCAGAACTCAGCACTTGTTTCATATTGCTTTAATATAGTCATAGTCATTCTCAGTTATGACCATACACACTCCTTTTTATTTACATATATTTTTAGGTTTAAGACAGAAAAACCAACAGACAGGCTGATACATGTTGATGGTTACAGGTGAAGGTTTCTAGAACAGTGTGAAAGTGTTTTGAATGCAGGGTCCCACAGAATTACGTCATGCTATGATTACAAAAGAGAGAGAGAGTGTGTGTGTGAGGGGGGATGGGAAGGATGTTTGCAGTTTTCTTGATGTTTTCGGCTCATCCTGTAGTCTGGTTCTTGTATGTGTGTGTTCAAGCACAGTGGTCTGGATTGTGATTGTTCAGAATTCATGTTTGAGGTTTGAATCTGAATGGCAGCTGATGGATTTAGCAAATCTTCACTAAAATTAGATTCAAGATTCTTTCTAATGTAAACCAGCTGCTACACACACATTCCACAGCCGCCATTAAAACGCAAAAACACACAGAGGATGTCATCCTGATTTGATATCACGTAAACACGCATATATAATGTATTAACACAAATATAGTGCTTTTAATGAATTCATCTTAACATTTGACACCACTAAACCGAAAATACGCTTTCGGGCCCCGAGAAATACATGACACAAACACAGCTGTCATCTGTGATCGCACCTCTCTTTGTTTGTATCTGTCTGACATTCTAGTTGAATTGTAGATATTTGTATATTATTTAGTCGGGGTAACGTTATAAAGGTTTTGATTGTCATTAGACACGACATTAAAAGATCGACGTCGCTCGCTTCGTTGATAACATAACGGCTGCGCTCTAACGTTAGTTGTGTCGCGCGCTCGACCTGTCAAACCGGGTTTTACCAGAACTGACTCGGTCCGGTTGTGCTCCGCAACACTTACTTCAGCCCTAACCCGTGCAGATGCTGTCCGATGAGGCGGATCACATCCTCCTCCGACTGAGACAGACGCTTTTTCTTCTTCAAGGAACCCGAACTCGTCCCGGAGGCCCCCGAAGCCGAGCCCGCGTTGCTCTGGAGGCCGTTGGCATCTCCGTTCTGTGTGCTGGCTGGGTGGTTTTGCTCCTGTCCGGTCCCGTTCGACTGCATGTTGGTGCCGGTTCGGCTGAGGTGGGTCGCTAATGGCAGGCCCGCTGAAGCCCCGGGCTCTCCTACTCCCTCCGCCGCCGAGGCTCGGTGCTTCTTCCGCGGGGGCGGCGACGCTCCGCCGGTGTCCGAGTCGGAGGAGGAGGAAGCGGAGGCCAGAGTTTCCTCACCGAGAGCGGCCGTGGTTAGAAGCCGGTGAAGCCCGGGGGAGGGGAAAGAGGCGTCGGGCTCCCGCGGTCCAGTGCGCGTTTCGTATAAGGGTCGTTCGTGTTGTTGTTGTTTCTCTCCAAACAGCTGCAGATCTAATGGCGTCCAGACGCTCTGACGTCACCGGACATTCCCCTGCTGCCTCACTTCCGGGCGGCGAGATAGATAATAAGAAGTGTAATAGACTTATAGAGTGCTATGAAAATATATTTGGTAAGCTTCCCTGATATTATAGTGATTAATTTACCCAATGTTTATTGGCTGTGTAAGAGGAATTTACTATTTATGTATTCTGTGGCTAGCTATTTTTATTGTATTTTTATTTATTTATTTATTCATCTATTTTATTTAAATGAAATACTTGTAATGCGTATGTATGGATATGTTTGTGTGTGTGTATCCATATTTGTTTTTGTTTTTTTTATGTTTATATTTTATGATAGGAGAAATTTGTTAACCTTTCTATTTCTGTTTGGTGTTTGAATGTATCTGACTAATTTTTGTAATTTACAAAAAAAAAAAAAAAAAAAAAAAAAAAAAAAAAAAAAAAAAAACTTCCGGGCGGCGATCCAACCAAAAGGGGGCGCACAGAGATTATTAATTTATCAATAATTATTTATGATAATTTATAGAGTTTACAGAGAACAGATGTTCAGAGAAGTGGGACTGTTAAAAATCTATACTTGTTTTTCTTTGATAAATCCTTACAGTCACCATAGTTACCACAGATGTAACAACGTCCATTCATTCACAACCGATCACAATCAACCATGCATCCAAGATCCATCCAGCAATCCATTTTAATCATAAGAGCAGAATCTTCTCAATTTTTCAAATTACTCAAGGTTTATAACCTTCAAATGTCAAATATTACTTTTCTAGTTACAATTATTGGATGATTAAAATTCAGCAAGACGGTACTAAAGTTTGGTTCTGTTTAATGTACCTTGTTACGAGTCATTAAATCATTCTTCTCAATTGGTCAAATAATAAACACTGAGAATGGCATAAAAAGCTGCTAAATCTACCAAAAAATTAAAACCCAAACACATTCTGAGAGCCGTAACAATCTGATCTATAACCAAGGTGTTCACAGAGTATATGAGACAAAATGAATGTCATGAGTGAAATGTGCGTTTATAAAAAGCCATTAAAATATCAGAGTTTGCTGGGATTGAGCAAGACCTGGAGATGTTTGACTATTAAAAATGCTATTTGCTTCGGGACAAAACCCCATTCTGACTACACGTCGTCGTCAATAGTAATATGCTGTTAGTGTGATGTATAAGCTATATGTAGAATAAAAATAGAATAAAAAACTCTGCCTTCTGTTAATGCACATAATGTACAATTCCCATGTTTTGTTCAAAAGATGTGTCATCTGATCTGTGTATGTTCATGTGTCTGCCTTCAATCGGACAGTTTGTGAGAAGTGTTTTTTAGCTCCTGATTGTGTGTGTTTTTGTGTTAATATTACAGAATTTCCTTTCCATCATGGTCTATTTTATGATTCATACTTCTTTAATGTGCTTAATATAGCCAACAATTCAATGTTCAATTCAATTCAAAAGTTTACTGTAATCGATGAGCCCATCCTTATCATAAAGACACATGTGTTCTTAATCACAATTTTTTTTTTGAAACAGATGGTGTACTTGTGATCTGTTGCAATGGTGGAAAGTGTGTTTTTAAAATATAACAAATTATGAACAATTCTCAGTTAATACAACCGTTGGCTGTGGATTCTTCTGAATTATTATTATTATTTTTTATGTTTCAGAGCTGTTGCCGGTTGGGAAGTGCATGAGCTGAAGTCCTCATTTGGGGGACACGGGTTTGTGTCTCCTCTTTGTCCTCAATAATTTACTGTCCCCTTTCCTTTTATATCAATAAAAAGTGGAAAAAGTCACAACATGATAAAATATACAATAGTGTCATTGTCCTAGTCTTCTTCATTCTTCTCATGATTTGTCTAGTATTTGATGTGGAAGAGAGACTTCGGTTGTTTTTGCGACAGGTTTGTCTTTGCCCTTCATGAAGAAAGTAAGCAGTTCTCCTTTTCCTTTCACGTAGATGGGTCCTCTTTTGACGAAACGGAAACCATACTCCTTCAGGATGTTATAGCAGTCCTCCACCACCTGGGGAGCACCAACACCATGAAAACACACACACCTGTGTTAGAGCCATTCTGTGAATATTTATGTCAGTGCCATTAGGCTAGTTTGGCATCCAAAGTATGAGTACGTTAAGACGTTTTAATAGAATCTCTAAATTACATTTCTGTCGGAAAAATTGCATTAGAAGTGGGAAGTTTAATTCATATAATTTCTGTTTTAAAATTGATTCAATGATTTATTTAAATCTTCACTCAAAAATGTACAGAGGTCTCCAAGCAGGCAGCAATACAATAATAAAACAACTTAAATACTATATACTGTAAAATTCTCTCTCTCTATATATATATATATGTTTATATATTAATATATACAGTATATATATAGTATATAAACAGTATATATATTTATATTGGTGCTGCATATAAATAATGATAATTTAATATTGATTAAATATCAACCTTCCTTGTGTTTTCATGAAAAACATGCCAATATTTTACTATATGTTATGTTAAAATTTTTGCATTTTAATATAATTTATTGCTATATTGGCCATTTAGTTTTAAATCACTTTTTAATTATAAATATATTTACTTCAATCATCAATCAAATAAATAAACAAATAAAACGTATATCACCTGTATGTTACCCATAACCCCAGTGGACTCCATTCGACTGGCCACGTTCACAGTGTTTCCCCAGATATCAAAATGAGGTTTGCGTGCACCAATCACTCCGGCTAACACACTCCCCTTATTCAGACCTGACAGTAAAACACAAACATGTTGTATTTACATGCTTTATAAGATTTTTTTTACTGTACAAACTGTATATGAAGAGTTCAGATGCAAAAGCCTCTAAATGCCATTTGAAATTTTCTTCTAAAATGACCATTTTTATCAAGCTTGTATTTTTAAGTTCAGTAATTTCACTTAAATGACAATTAATAGGTAATCTTCATTGCCATTTAAGTGAAATTACTGAACTTAAATATACAAGCTTGATAAAAATGATCATTTTAGAAGAAAATTTCAAATGGCACTTAGAGGCTTTTGCATCTGAACTCTTCATATTCTCTCCCCTTACACTAACCCTATCCCAAACCTACCCAACACAGAAAACTTTCTGCATTTTTACATTTAAAAAATCTAAACACGTGACTTAGTCTGATTTATAAGCGGTTTTCCTCAAGAGGGCCAAAAATATCCCCACAAGGACAAGGATTTTGGAAATTGCCATCTTGGGTTTACCAGAACCACAAACACACTAACACACACACACCTGCTGGGTTTTCATGTTATGGGGACTTTCCATAGCCATAATGATTTTTATACTGTAAATTCTGTCCCCTTACACTAACCCAACCCCTAAACTTGTCCATCACAGATAACTTTCAGCATTTTACATTTTCTCATTTTTACAATGATTTATAAGCTGTTTTCCTCATGGGGACCAAAAGAAATGTGTATATAAAAGTAACATAGGTCTGTATTTCTGTTTGCTGACCTATGCGAAGCATGAAGTTATTGAATGACTGTTTGTTTAGGTTTCCAAGTATGACTTTCATAGCCAGCGCGAAGTCTGCCAAATCAGCGAAGTGTTGCCAGCGCTCCAGGATGCACTGATCCTCTATCTGTATCACACACACATCATTATCATCAGTATCACAGACTCCATTGTTGTAAGCATTATGCACTGTGGAGTGTGTTGTGTTGTGTAGCGCACCTTGCGGTCGGCGTATCCGTTAGTGTTGCTCTCCGGCGTCACGCCTGAAGCTGCCATGTACGTGCTGCCGATGGTCTTGATCTTCGTAATGTGGCGAAACTCTGTGCGATCCAGAAGCTACTCAGAGTCAAAAAACACATCACATGATTTTAAAGACAGTTTCCGCTGAGCAAATTATGAGATATATAAAGAAATAAAGAGCAAGAGACACACTCACACTGTCAAAGTCAGAGATTATCTCATTAAGGATTCGGAGGCACTCGATCCCTCCGTTGTTTATACCCTCCTCAGTGTAAAAGTCGGAGAAGTTGGGAATAGAGGCGAAAATCACGCCGATCTCATCATATGACTGACTGTAAAGTTCCTGCAATAGACATCAATATGCACATTTATTATGGACTAAACGCATTATTCTGAATTCAGGAATAAACTCCCATACCTCATCTCGCTTCTTGGAGCCCAGGAAGTGTTTGGCCACGTGATCAGGAAGCATGTTAGTGACCAGCGCCTCGTTGTTCGTTCTCATTTCGTACACCTTCTCCTTCTGATCGTGAACCTCGACCTTCCACAGAAACAGCTTACGGGACTGTCGTTCCACCTGAAGGAGAGAGGAACATTTACATGCTAATAGTTATGAAAAAACAGAGGAGAGGAATGTACATTTTTAAGCTGTTGTTGGACATACATGACGTGAGAAGTAGTAGAAACTCATCATCATGATGATAATCATCACGGTCAGCAGATATCTGGTGGGAACCACTGAATACCTAAAGAGCCACAGAAAATCATGCAAAAATCTTTTGTGAACGGCATTTCAAATGCAAAAGCTTGCATTTAATCACTAAACTAGGTGAAAACAATAGAAATACACCATAGAAAGAACTGTGCTGTATAACAAGTCTCTATTCTGAGTAAATTTGGCTCATTATAGATTGTGCCTAATTCACAAAACTCTGTTTTTTGCAGCAGTAAGTAACTCAGAAAATACTGGTCGAATGATGGAGAAGAGCATCAAAAGAGCATTAGAGCATATATATATATATATATATATATATATATATATATATATATATACACACAATTATTCTTAGTTCATTCCCTCTTGAATCCTACATTAAAAAAACAGCAAGTTACAAATCTATACTATATACATTTGCATTCAGAAGACATTTATAATGCTACAAAAGCTTTATATTTCATAGAAATGCTGTTCTTTTTAAGTTTCTATTAATCAAAGAATACTGAAAACATGTATTAAGGTTATTGACAATAATAATAATAATAAT